CGATAAGAAAAAATTGTCAAAAATACAGTAATTTGGAATCACTGTAACCATCCGCCATTTACGAGTATTTCAGCCGAACCAATGATTATCGCAGATACTTAAATTACAAACTTTTGGCGGTATTTTCAGACATTCTTAGAGAAAAACGGAATGGCTCAATGCTCCCCATGGCCCTATGCTCGCCGATCTCCCCTATATATTTTAGCGGAGCGAATGAAACGCCTACTGGGACAATCATCCAAACAGCTATAGATCGCATTATGCAATTGGTGCAACAGTGTTGGCGTCAAACTATCCATCCAAAACACTCGTACTATGGTCCAAGTAAACCCATAACCGCCTGAAGACATTGTTACATCAATTGTGAGGTCCTGGCGAATAATCACTAACGCAAATTTAAATTGCGCTAATAAAGTCAAGACTTCTACGAAACAGCAAACAGATTTTTAAAGTCACTTGACGTCATTCCGAATACAGCTCTATCTTTGGGAGCTATCAGAATCAGTCCTACAGCTTCTCCATATGTGGAAGCTCATGATCCTCCATTATACCTCCGAGGGAGAAAAACTACTTCAAAGATTTTGAGATTTATACATATATCCGGCCTGTCCTGTCAGATCTGTTTTCCTGTTTGCCTGTGTCACCCACAATGAGGACGTTACATTACTGCTAACACTCATCAAGAGTCGTGAGACTCTAGATAAGCTTAATCACCGCCAGGTTGATGTTCTTATTATGTTCGCCTCTAACTATCTTCTTCTCAACGGCATCTAGGCGGAGTTTGAGTTGTGGCTGCTGTCGCATTAATAAGTTTGAGCAAGGGGAACTCTGTCCTAGAGGTATACCTCGACAGACGAATGCAACGATTTGCAGACCAAATCACACCATCGAAGATTTTCCTAACACGGTTGACCCAAGACCTCATCGCCTCCATCTGGAAAAAGATAAAATTAAATATTGATGAGTGTGCTATTGCACCAGATCAGCTGGTATCGAATTTCAGGGCAGTCAGTTCAGTAACTAATGTAGCCGTCAAGCCACTGATAGATTAAATTGCGAATAATAACTAATTCCAAAAATCCTTCGCACAAGCAATGTGCAATCTCACCACTAGCCACAACATTATTTAATTCCAAGTGTCGCCACTGAGCTCTATAGTATGTGACACCGTCTAGAATATATCGTAGTCACACACCTTTACTACCATCCGTGAGAGCAAATAACCCACCACGAGATTTAGCGTAAACAAATTTACACGCTCTTTAAGCGTCGCGAAACGCGCAGCACCTTCGTTTACTCGTTGTCTCCAGTATTTGAGGAAACACCACTTCCGCCATCAAATAAACTCCTTTAAGAATGTTCAAATAAATCTACAATTGCAACGGAACGCGCTAAACGTCCTCACTTCTCCAAATGAAACGTGTAATTCTTCGTAAAATCTGCATCTCCTTAACACCAGAACACGTGCGTTAATTCAATTTCGTCTGATAATAAAACTCATCGAAAACGATCAGATGTAACCTTTTTAAAATAACACAAATTTAACCAGATGTGTCTCACTTTTTTCTCGCATAGCACAAAGTTGTGTTTTAATTCTCGTGATCAGAAACATTTTAATTTGTAAGGTCCCATTGCATATTTAGTTACATAGCCACTTAAAAATTAATTGCAACTGGTGCTGTATCTCTAGAGCGAGGCCTACGATACTTACAGGCCGGAGCGCTCGAAAAAGTCACGTGACGTTAGGAGTCATATGAAATACATTACGGCTTATGGAAAATGCGTGCGCGGCTCCACTATTTATTTTTTTACTCCGGATCCGTTCAACATAGAGCCACGAAATTTCAATGAGAGCTTGTCAATAGTACACACAATCAAATTATGGTGTTCGTTAATTTTTAATAACACTAAAAATAATTAATTTTTAGGTTTAAAGTATTGCAGATAAAACGATGTTAGTAAATCCGCGTTTTTCTATCTTTACATCATCATATTTCTTTTTCTAGGAACTATATCATTATAATCCTTTCGGTGTCTTAAACTAGAATGATATGCGCCTCCAATTATGCGTATATGATGCCTAATCTGATATTAGTATAGTTTTAAAAGGCCCTACAAAATCGCGCATTTATTATCCGCGCAGAGAAAAATTCACCATGCGAGAAACTTTTTTGTTATTACTATAATTGTATCACATATATCGAATGAATTGTGGCCAAAGGACACAAAAATGTTCTTCAGAAGGAATTTTTAAGAAATGGTCTCTTGTTTCGTTTTTTTCAGCAGCTGAAGTAAATAGCGCGATTTCAAGAATAAGTGAACGCGCAAAGGCGTAATTGTTAGTAATCCATTTTCAAATTGTGTTTGTGAGATTCAAATTTACATTAAACTATAAAATTAAAGATATTATCAGTCAAAAGTATGGAGTATATCTTATATCTTCGTTAATATGAATTTTGCAGTACATAAAGTATTTTAGTTATACCTTCTCGTGTTAAAGTGAAATGGGAAATTTGCCTTGTCCGCCTAAGAGGCCTGGTAAGTATCGTAGGATTTCATCTTCATTCTATGAATAAATAAAAATAACCTTTTGAATATGGAAGTTTTAAAAAATAGCATTTTCTATCCAACTTACAGCAGTTTTAGTAAAAAGTACAGCTTGTAAGGAATAGGCAGTGCCGTTTTTTTTTCGTTTTCAGAAGTAACTGTTGTGTCGTTTTCTAAATATATATATATTTCAATACTTATATTTAACATCGCCTCATCTTCTGCTAAATTACACGACGAAACAAAATCTTTGATGCAAAATACTCCTCTTGAATCTCACAAACACAATTTGAAAATCGATTACTAACAATTATTTGAAACATAATAATTCCTTTGCGCGTTCACTTATTCTGAAATCGCGCTATTTACTTCAGCTGCTGAAAAAAAGGAAACAAGAGACCATTTCTTAAAAATTCCTTCTGAAGAACATTTTTGTGTCCTTTGGTCACAATTCATTCGATATATGTGATACAATTATAGCAATAACAAAAAAGTTTCTCGCATGTTGAATTTTTCTCTGCGCGGATAATAAATGCGCGATTTTGTAGGGCCTGTTAAAACTATACTAATATCAGATTAGGCATCATATACGCATAATTGGAGGCGCATATCATTCTAGTTCAAGACACCGAAAGGATTATAATGATATAGTTCCTAGAAAAAGAAATATGATGATGTAAAGATAGAAAAACGCGGATTTACTGACATCGTTTTATCTTCAATACTTTAAACCTAAAAATTAATTATTTTTAGTGTTATTAAAAATTAACGAACACCATAATTTGATTGTGTGTACTATTGACAAGCTCTCATTGAAATTTCGTGGCTCTATGTTGAACGGATCCGGAGTAAAAAAATAAATAGTGGAGCCGCGCACGGATTTTCCATAAGCCGTAATGTATTTCATATGACTCCTAACGTCACGTGACTTTTTCGAGCGCTCCGGCCTGTAAGTATCGTAGGCCTCGCTTAGAGAAAATGTAACAGGTTGAATATGTTAAAGTTGGAAATGCCTGCAACGTTTATTTAACATACAGAATTGTTTGCGTTTTAGTATCGGACAGTTCGCCGTTTCGAATGTGCAGTAAAAATGTCGAACTGTAGTTTCGGTTACCGATAAATCAGTGTATACTAAATCTGTTTATTTCGCCAATTTTGCAACTGAACGGCCATTAATTTTTGACACTTGTATATTTTAATACGTAGCGATGAACAGTTTATTTTGAGTTACTCCTTGCAATCCAATAGCATTTACCCCCATCAACAACATCAAACTGTATGAATTTACATATAAATAAGTCAGTTTCAGCCCAACTTCGCTACGATTGTTTACTAAATAGAGTTAGGAACAATTATTAGTAATTTTATTACCTCGTGCCTATTTTAACTACCCCCTTTCCATACATTTCATTATACGTTCGTACAAGTATAAAAGGTTCAGACTAACATATTTTCCGAGAGCAATAAAATAAATGGCAGACAAACGCACAAAGGAACTGTTTGCAAAGGACGCTTTGTACGTAAAACATATTCTAAACTTTGATTACATATTCTTATCTTTAAAACAGACTCGTCCGTTTTTTCCTCCACAATTCACGTTGAGTTACTGCCGGATTGATTAATGTTTAAAAAGTGCGATCCAAGGGGATAAAATAAATCACTTTGTAATTACGAAACGAATAGTAGCATCGCATCTCCGGAAACAGCTGGTGTTTTAGGTCGGTTTGTTTTGAATAAAATAGCGACGTATTCAGCGTTTTGCAGTAGTAAAATCGCTTTGAAAAGCAAAATCAATGCTGCATTTAGCTAAAACTTTATATTTGTTACGGGCGACAATGCATACAAATTGGATGCAATTTATTTCCGGTGCTTAATTGTTCCATTCCGGTGATCCCAGTGGAAATGTGTTTCACAATAAAACAGTATTGATGTTATTATACTATAACATTAAATGGCAGCAATATAGCATACACATTTTTCCAATTATAGTTTACCGCTCTGGCATTCAATAATTGTTTGTTTCTCTGCAGACGAAATCAATTTCCCGCGTCAGTAGCAAATGGAAATTTTAGTATTTTTAAACAGTCACTCGAGCAAGATAGAGAGGTCTACAGTACGGAAGCGATTTTATTCGCCTTTATTGTTTAGACAATTACAAAAATCCATGATCGAGTCCGGTTTAGAACCATAAACCCTCAGTGACGTAGTCGAGTACCTACCAACTACCAAACGAGCAGGCTTCAGGCTGTAAAAATATGTCTAGACACTAAATCTTGCGTTGTTCCTACATGATGTAGGTACTCCTGATGATCGGATACATTTTGTATAAACTACGAGAACTGTTAAGTCAGGAACACATTGTTCTGGTGTGACTCCACACCACGCTATCCGACATGATGTGTGAGACGGACTTTTGTGTGCACATTTACTGCTTTCCTTTTACCTGAAAGAGGAGCTCTAAGCTGTACCGCGCACGAAGCCTCGTGTTCCTTTTAAAAATTGCTTCGAGCTCGGACGCGCCCGAAATTGGATTTCCCTTGTCCCCTCATGCACCACCTATTTTCTAGGGGCGCGAAACACTTTTGAGGTTATATACCTACTTGTCCAAAATGAACAACTTCCAAAAAGAATTTGTTTTAAAGGTAGGTTTCTCTTATATGCTGGTATATACTTAACATATTAAAATAAATTTGAACACAGACGTTATTTGATAATGCAGCTCAAAAGCTGATGGATTTTGATACAAGCAGTAGTAGCAGTTCCGATTTTTCATTTGTTGAACAGGATAACTGCAAGAAGCGAAAGATTTGCCTGCGTGTTAAGAACTATGTGGAGAATATAGTACGTGAATATACAGAAGTTGAGTTTAAAGCAGATTTTCGCATGTCGAGGAGTACTGCGTATAAAATTATTAGTAAGTAGTAAGGTATATAAAATTAGAACATTTGTGTGATTTTCTCCTTTCATAGATATGTTCGAAGAAACAAGCGTTATACCACAACATACAACTGGCAGGGAAAAAATTACTGCGGAGAAAGCTTTTCTCCTTAGTGTCTGGTATTTGAGCAACCAAGAATCATTTAGACAAGTTTCTAGTCGTTTTGATGTGACATACAGTTCGGCTCATAGGTGCCTCATTAGAACAGTTAATTTCCTATTGTCAATAAAATCAGATGTTATACGATGGCCGAGCCTAGAAGAAATGGAAACTATTAGCGCAAACTTTGAAAAAATAGGAGGTATAAAGAAAGTTATAGGATGCATAGATGGAACGCATATTGAAATAAATAAACCTAGACTAAATCAAGACTCTTACATTAATCGTAAAGGATACCACAGTTTATTAATGCAAGGTGTTGTTAATAATAAAAAAAAATTTATAGATGTATTTTGTGGCGAGCCTGGCTCAATGCACGATGCTAGACTTCTCCGAAAGTCTGGAATTTATAGAACAATACTGAACAATGCTAATGTTATGAAGAACTATATAATATTGGGAGATTCTGCATATCCAAATTTAGACTGGCTTGTTACACCATTTAAGGATAACGGGAAACTTTCAGTTCGACAAAAAGAATTCAATAAGAAAATTTCAGCAACCAGAGTTATAGTTGAAAATAGTTTCGGTCTTCTGAAATGTAGATTTCGACGCCTAAAAAAATGGAAAACATCAATGTAAAACTGTTCCAAGTTAATTATGGCTGCAGCTATCTTACATAACATATGCATAGACGAAGATGACTACATCGAGTTGAATCTCGCGGATAATACTGATCCTGAGGAAGTTCCATATCATTCTATCGCAGAACCGACCAATACTTCTCGGCAACAACAAATCTTTTGTGAAATGTATACAAATAACCCAATGTGATATGCAATAAAATAAAACTTTTATTTCTTACAAGGTACAAAATATGTAACCAAAAAAACATGTACAAATTAATAAAACCGATCACAAATAATGGCGGTTCATTCTCGTGGAAGTCAATTATCTCTTGTTGCATTTTTAATCTTTCTTCATGTCGTTGCTTCTTCGCCTTACATTCTTCCCTTTTTAATTTAATATATTCTACGAGAGATGTTTTAGCCGATGCTTTTGTTTTCTTCTCGCTTTCACTGGCAACGTGTTCATCAGTTTCAGCTACAATAGGCTGTTCAGTAGATTCACTATTTGTAAGGTCCGTAAGGGGAGCGTTATTAGAATTAATTGAATGTTGGCAATTGTTTGTGGGTTTATCTCCTAAAACATCATCCATCAAGTCGAAAAATAAAAAGCGAGCTGGAGCCTGTCCGGTACGATTGCGATTATCTTTAGCTTTTGAGTAACTACGGCACAGACTTTTCCATTTGTTTCTTGCCATTACTTCTGTAATATTATGGCCGGAACTTAACATATCGTTACAAATATGCTCATACACATGTTTACGCTTTAATGGATGATTGAGATCATCCTTATGTACATTCATTGCATGAATGAGATCTACTGTAGCTTGATATGACCACACATTTCCTCCTTTTGAAACATTTCCCTCATCGAATTGATTTTCTTCGGTTCTTTGTGTAGTTACATACTCACAGTTTGCATTTGTTTTGGCATGAAATAAAAGGCTGCCAAGAAACTTCTCATCTGTAATGCAAAATAGAACAAGAGGTCATGTAATCTGCAAAGCTTACCATTTTGTGCCCTTACGTAATCATCATGATTTACAATAACATTATAATGTTTATTTGTTTGTGGGTCTATTAACTCTAAGTTGTACTCATCCACAGATTGCAAATTCATCTTATATAAAAAATCAAAATACACATAACCTCAAAAAGGAAAACAAACCAAATTATTTCCCTGTTCCATTTGAATACGGTGGCAACTACAACTAGAGCTACTCCGAACGAACTGCACCAGAGCTTCACGCACTTAAATAGAAAGCGACTATTGTTTCTACACTATAAACAATGACCATGCTTTATTACGTTACGTAAGTGCTTGTTTACAATGAACGTATACGTAAGAAATACATAAAAACTTAAAAATTTCGCAAACTTGAACTGTATGGAAACATACGAAGGTGTTTACAATGAACGTAATTTTTATGTACGTATACGTAAGCGATATGTAAGTCTTGCGCATAGTCGCAAAAGTTGAAAATGTTTCAAAGTTACGTACGGTCAAAGATCATACTACTTGTAGTATGATCTTTGGTTTATTGTAAACAGCTAAGTAAATTTACGGAAATGATACGAAGATGTACGAGTTAGTGTTTGTTTACAATGAACGTATACGTAAATATTTCATAAACCGTAACTCGTACATATCCGTATCGTTTTCGTAAATTTACTTCGCTGTTTACAATAAACCGTACGTAACTTTAAAAAAATTTTCAACTTTTGCGACTATGCGCAAGACTTACATATCGCTTACGTATACGTACATAAAAATTACGTTCATTGTAACACCTTCGTATGTTTCTATACAGTTCAACATTGCGAAATTTTTACGTTTTATGTATTTCTTACGTATACGTTCCTTGTAAACAAGCACTTACGGTTTATGGAATATTTACGTATACGTTCATTGTAAACACACACTAACACTTGAACTTATAAATACTGTCACTATGCAATAGTCATGGCGACAAGTAGTTCTTTCGACAAAAAAGAAAAGAAAATATTGGGTACATCCTATAAATTCAGAACGCCACTTTCATGAGTGCCATACGTTGATACGGCTCCTTGAAATGGAAGAGAATGATGACCGATTTCACATGTATTTCCGAATAAGCAAGGACCAAGAATTTACATAATTGGTGGAGTAAAATATTAAAAAAATGAGAGTAGTATGTTTACACATTATGTTGTGTGACAAAAAAGATTTTGAATCGGAAAACTATTCCAATGGGCCTGAATCTTGTCTGACTTTCGTTCCACCATTACGATAAAATTCCATAGACCGAGCCATTTTTGTGAGAGATAAATTTAAGGAATATTTTACATCAAGAGAAGGTAGCGTACCTTGGCAAACTCAAATTGTAATAAGCTGTAGAAACAGTTTCATCAATTTTTATCGTCAGATTCCAAATAAAGGCGCAAGAGGTAAATATAGTCGGAAAATCGGGAGTTTTATTAAAATTTAACATATTTGACCACCCGTCTTAAACTTAAGCCACGGTATCTCGCTGGCAGACATGACTTTTTCTACTTTATTTTGTATCAGAACACTTTACACAAAAAATCAGCCATGTAGCGATAACTCCCTCTTTTTTCCGTAGCCAGCTCTCCGTCTAATTATCTATTGAATCTCACGAGCCATTATATTATTACCTTCCACCACTTCTCCCCGCTACGAAGTGGCGCCCAAATGAGTAGTGCCCCAGAAAAACCATCAAAACTCTGCCAGTTACGAGGAAAAAATCCAAAGAAATGGATCCGAACACCGGATCTCTGACGTTTTCGCCCGAGACGCTGCAGGAACTCATCCATTCAACCACGTTCCCGATTCGACGAGAAGTGAGACACGAGACCCTTCACACACACCATCGACAAAGCATGTATACTCACGTCTTCGATGACAAAGCCCTCGTGGGTATGGCAATGCTGCTCGAAAAGGTCATTGCCGCATGGTGGCAAGGGGCCTCGGACCATACGGACATGGATCGACGCCACCACCCTCCAACGCAAAAAGTTCGGACCAGGGAAGCTCCTTCGGCGCTACAGAGCTTTACATCGCAAGAAAACGAGCGTTGATCGAAGAAGAGCTCAGTGAGGAAATCCAATTATACATTGCTTTTGCATCCAAGGACACGGAAGAAGATTCCGCACGCTTCTTTCAAAACCACGGAAGTTTGAAGACTTACAGCCACAGCCAACCAAGCACACCGCAGAAGCCACCTCCCGTAAACTCAGGTGCACTTACTGCAGGGATTCGCAGGAGGAAGGCCTACGAGACCGAAGCTCCAAAACCGCCAACAATTGCAGTCACAGCGCCCAGCATTTCACGCTCCACCATAATCCATATTCCTTCTATCCCCCTCCCCCTTCTTTTCTTATCCTTATTCTTTTCTCTTCTCTCTTCGCCTTCTATTCTTACTTTTCTTTATCCGACTTAAATTAACTGTACTCCCTTTATCTGTAAACAAAAGAAAAAATATATGTGGCAATGAACGTTATACACGTAACGGAGCTGACACGTTTTGGGCCGTATCCGTTTCATTCGCGTTTAGCGAAGTTAAAATACTAAAAACTAGGATTTTGTGCAATATAATAATTTTTAGGAGCTATAAGAAACGCTGGAAGCATGGTTTACTTAAAACCAGCGGTTATTGAATTATAACCAAAATACGCAACTGCATGAATACGAAAACCTCGGATTTTCCAAAACCAATTCTAAGTGTTCAAAAACTTATGGCATATAACATTTTCAAAAAGAATGCAAGTATTGAAAATATGAGCTGTGAAGCAAACTTCCAAGGAGGTTGGTATTGGCGAAATGCTGATGTGGAATATTGTTAAGGAAGTCAAAAGCAGTAGCACTGCACGCTCGCCTCGGAAAAAGCGACTTTGCACAACAAAATATGAGCATCTCGAAGACTTCGAAAGAGCAGCTATACTTTGTTTCAAGGGTGCTGAACCTTTCGTCACACTATCTGACGTCATAGCAAAATTAAGGCTGGTCGTAAATTAGTAGTTGGTTTACATATTGTCACATTGACGTTTCAACTTATTTATTAAGGTGTCACTATCGTTCATCATTATTAGACCGCCCAAGTTGACAATCACTTGTAAGGCATCTGGTTCTGATAGGTTTTTTCCTGTTCTTAGGTTTTATAATGGCTAAATGGTCATGTATTTTATGTAGAGGAAGTCCGTTGGTATGAATTAAACCTTTTCAACCGTTTGTAATCACCTCATGTAACCGATTCTTTGCACATCCAAATGGATACTGCCAGAGCATCCGAAACTCTTTGAGATGAAGTGTATGATGGTTACAGAAAACGCATAGGAACATTTGTAACTTAAAGTTTGTTTAGGCAGTTCGTAAATTAATATTTTGTTTACATAATGTTGATGTGAAATTAAGTATGCTACCAATGTGAAGAATACGCGTTAAGTTGCGCGAATTTTAATGACCCTTAACTAGCCATTTGCAGAAGTAGAATAGGCCATGGTTTATCGGTAAGCCTTTTGCATTTATACATCTTACAAATTTGAGATAAAGCGTAGTCATTATACCACTGGCTCATTGAAATAACAACGCATACATACAGTTTCTGTTCTTTTGCCACACAGTCGAGATATTCGCATAAGGATCTTGAATATCTTCTGATCCGATTTATTTAAAAAAAAACGCAATTGTGAAAGAAAACAGGTAGTGAAGAAAAAACTCTCAAATGTTCATATTCAAATCGTATGTACAAAAGACAAAAAGCGACACTACACCACAAATCCATCTTCTGATCCTGCATGGAGTATTAGGTATATACCGGACCCCTTCACTACTTCTTTTTCTAACTGTTTTGAGAGTACCATCTTGACAGCTTCTTCTAAAAGACCCTTTACTGTATATCCAGGTTTCGTCTAAAACCACAGGTCGTAATGGAAAGAGTGAAGTTTCGGTATGTTTAAAGTCTCTCAAAAATTGTAGTCTTCTTTGAACTGCATAGGGCTGTTCCATTAAAAATAATCTATTGGAGACGGTGCATCTCCGCCACGTGAATTTCAGTTTCTTCAAACTGCGGGACAAAGAGGTACCAGATATTTCTACGCCATCAAGTCGTTGAAGATTACTGTGTAAGGAACGGAGTGTAACATTCTCACCTATAAAATCAATTCAATACCTAAGTGTTCTGGCGAACATCTTCATTCTGTGTATCGGTTCGTCATATTTACCTAATGGTAACGGGAATGACCTAAATTCATGATATGAGCGAATCGAACCATTATGTGGTAAAATTTTTAAAATACTTGTCTATTAACGGCGTTGCTGCACTGTCGACTTGCCTAAGCGTTTTTAACTTTGATGATATTTACTTCACTTTTAACACAAACTACCTAATCAAAAGGCATTTAACACTGGAAATCTGTCTATAACGAAAATCGTTTGACGGATTGATATTATGACAGATCAATTGGTTTATTTGTCACGACTTACGTTAATGACGTAATTTTTTTGTCTCAATCGATTTAAATGTAATGAAGAGAGAATCACATTTATGACGTCAGGTTCAGCACCAGTGAAACAAAGTATATACGAAGACATGTCCATAGATTCTTTTTTAAAAATGAACTTCCAACATTGCAAAAAGTTTTAAATGTTGTCAATGATGATGATTCTCTGCCAAACTTTAAAAGAAGAACATTATAGAAAATTTTGCGAAAAATAGGATTTAAATATGAAAAGAGATCCAGAAAAACATTCTTAATTGAAAAGCTGGAAATTATTTTGTGGAGACGTAAATATTTAACTTCTATTAAAAAATTTCGAGAAGAAGATAGGAAAATTTATTACATGGATGAGACTTGGGTTAATGCTGGACATATCAAAAATGAAATCTGGAAAGATTCCACTATTAAAACTGCAAGACAAGCATTTTTGGAAGGCCTTTCAACTGGTGTCAAGGACCCATCTGGGAAGGGAAAAGGTTAATTGTAGTCCATATGGGCAGTAACACTGGCTTTGTAGAAGGTGCATTTCTAAACTTTGAATCGAAAAAGACAGGTAAAAACTTAATATTGCAATATATTTGTCAGTATTTTAATAGTACACTGAGAAAAAGAGTCTAAATAAACAGTTTACTTGAATATTGTATAATTACCAAGAGTATAATGATTGATTGTCATAAGGTACTTGACTGTTAATATTAAGTAAACTGAATTACTTGAACTTGGTTATTTGTAATTAAAAAAAATATTGTTACTGTAGCAACTCTGTGATACTGACACAAATAACTTATAGTTATTTAAATTAGGGTATTTAGTATTAGTGAACTGTTGAACTATGATGAACGAACTATTTTCAAAATTTAGTTACTGCCAGTAATCTGTTATATAAATTCAATTGCATTTATTGCTACTGCATGGAAACATTTGACATTAATAAACTGTTTAATAACGATGCATAACATAAACGCTGTATAACAGTTAATAACTGCAATGTGCAACTTTGCAAAATTCACTTACGGCGTCCATGTACCACGAACACGTCATTTATCATTTCGTTTGTGCTTGGCATCTTGCGTTTAAGAACGGCGGCGTTCCAAAAGCCAAAAGTTGTGTTTTGAAAGTCAAGTATCGTACGTTGACTTGACCATTGTCATTGTATACAAACTGTTTTACTGTTATAAATATCCTGCTATGAGTTTTGAGTACGTCAAAAAGTTACAAACGTGGGGGCTGGAGGAGTTCGTAGACATCTTTAAGGGTAAGTATTCTTACATATAATTATATTAAATTTACGTATTCCAATTGCAAACATCATTGCGTGTTGTTATGCCTATTTTGAGATATAAAGGAACTTTTTATTTTCCAAGTATCCAAGTAACATTATACATTTTACATTTACATATGAGTCAGTCATTTTAATAATAAAATGTACATTGTGCTGTGAGTTTAGAACAGATTTAAAAATAGAGACAGTGAACGACTACAGAAATAATCTTTGCACGAAGTGAGATTTATTTTTCATACGGGAGATTGTATGTGCCCAAACAAAAAAAATTAATACAATTACGCACGTTGGTACAGTTTTGTCATAACAAAATTATTAATATTGACGTATATGCCAAGCGTTACCAAAATCACCTCAAAATTAAATATTAACAAATTGTATGCTTTTTTAACATTAAATAATCCAAACTGGCATTTGATATTTATACATATGTAATTAATTCGGAAAATAAACAAATATTAATATTAATTATTAATAATTAAAACTTTTGTGGGGATGCAGTAAAAAAATTAAAAGTAAAACTCTACTGTTTTTTAAATTTACAAATCAAGACCTCTCATCATTAATTATTAATGTTGTTTCAGAAGAAGGTATCAACGATGAAAGTTTTTGTCTTCTAGACGGGGATACTATTGATAACCTATTTAAAAAATCTGGTCCAAGGCTAGTTTTTAAAAAGCAATTTGCCATTTTTTTAAGCGAAAGTTTGCAGGGGCCTCATATTGAAACTTACTCTACGCCTATTTTGGTATTAAAATATTATTTAAACTTTTGGTTTTTCATCATGAATGTTTAAGAATGTGACCAACAGTGATACCACTAGCATTAGTGACATATCTTCCATAGCTAACATGATAGTAATCCCGGCTAATGACCTACAAGGAAGTCTCATTAATACATCTACTACAAGTTACCATCACGATATTACTGATAGTTACGATATGTTCCAACCAAGCACTTCTAAAAAAACAAGAAGCGAAGATTCTTTCTTATTTCCTTCGGTAAATATTTAAGTATACCTATACTGTGCAAAAATGTGTAAGAGAATGTTGTAGACTTTGGAAAATTTATTGAAAATGCATGTGGACGGAAAAATTATCATGGCACACAAACATAAACTCAATAACGATGATCGACAAAAATTGGCAAAAATAGTTGTCAATCAAATCATATCCACACACAACTATGCTGAGTATGCGACTAGGTACTAATGTAATATAACTACTAAAATGTATTCAAATTTCAGAATAAGGGCGGGCACGTTTTTGGAGGCTGCCAAAGAAATTATTAACTTGTTTCCAACCGAAAAAATTGAAACGTATTACATTCCCTACTCCCCGCCAAAAGGATCTTTAAGAAGGCAACCTGCCCGCGGAAAGCTGTGGTCCAGATATGTAAACGTCCGTGCAGCGTTAAGGTTGGCGGACAAATATAAAGTGACAGATGAAAATAAGGAGAACCTTGTACTAGAAGAAGAAAACGACAAATATGAACATGATTTAGCATTCTTAAAAGTTGCAGTGGAACCCCAGCAAAGAGTTGCTCAGTGTTGGGAATCAACATTCCGTATTAGGCAAAAACGATACAAAAGTGAACCCATAGAAACATATTTTGAAGCATTTCCTTCTTTAAAACTCCAATTCGGAATTGAGCTGGTAAGTAGAAACCAAAAAAATGTTTTAATAGACTGGTATTGCTATATTGTGTCCAGCCTAAAGGTTCTATGCATTAAAAAAGCTTGACATATGCTAGAAATCAGTTGCGTCTTTTTATAAGAGTATTTAATACATATGTTATAACAATATTTCGCAATTTTGATATATTTTATTTACTTCTAAACATAGTGGCGCACTCACATATCCTCTTCTTGTAAATCTAGTTTCTTTTTAAATCTGAATACACAGTAAAAAAATTTTATGATTCGAAAAAGCGCAACTTCTTGTCTTGGACACATTGTATTTTCATTTTGTTTATAAATGCAGTTAGGGTATGTTAGTGATTTTGTTTGTTTTTTTTTCGTAGTTGGAGATTGACTTTAATACTTTACATCCAAATAAAGCGAACATCATTTACGAAAATTGGCCAAGTGTTTCAAAAGCAATATTATCCGAAGCTAAAGAACGAAAAATTATTATTGAAGAAAGAAACGAAGGTAATCATAATTAGATATCTATGGATGGTTATGTACCTAATAAGTTTTTTTTTAGATTTGTCAACAAGTGCACTTCTATGCTTGCCATATTTATTTTCCCCAACTACTGTAAAAAATAGTAGTAAAAATAAAATTGGGAACTGGCGTCCAAGCCGACTTGAAGTTCAGCATAGTTTTTTCTTCTGTACTAAAGTAAGTAGACAGATATTTACGACTTCATGCAAGGTGTTCAAATTCCAAATCAAAATCAGGCAATTTGTTGCTCTAAAAACGTGGACGTTTTATAACATTCTAAGATTGAGTTATTTATGACCATATTTCCATTTATATTCAGATTGCTACCGTTAAAATGAATACTGTACTTACTTCATTTGGTGTAGTAACATCAGTACTCTTACATATTATTACGCTTTATTATTCATTTATTGTTAACATCGACAACTTTTAATAACACGGAATATTTTGTTACATTCTAGAATTTATTGGAATTAGAAAAAATAGTAGACGCGAGACAGCATAAGTTAGAAAAATATCAACTTCCTTTACAGCCTTTTGGTGTGGCAGTGGGGGATGTGGGACAAGAAAGTTATTACGTGTATAACCAAAATATTAAGTATAAGTTAGAGTCTAGCATTAGATGCCTAGAATTATTATACAAACTGTTTCATGCACTTAACCTAAATTATCCTGCAGAAAGCAAATCTATTTGGCAATTTATCGAAGAAGTGGTTTATGGGATGCCTGTCACGGGTAAAACAAGTAGTGCTGCTTCAGCAATAGCTGATATTAATTATCACCTTAAATTGTAACTACCTATACCTACTTTCGTAAGTTTATTAGTTTAACTATAATCAATGGTTTAACCATTGGTTTAACGCTACTGAATAACTTATGTTTTGATTATCACAATGGTCATTTGTGGTTTGTGCTTGGAAAATTACGGAAATGTTAAGTCATTAGTTACTCATCTTAAAATAATACATAATCTTAAACCGAATGATACATACAACTGCGTTGAACCTAATTGCTTCAGAAATTTTAGTTCTTTAAATTCCTTTAGGAAACACATTAAAACTCATGAAAATATTAACTCTCACCTCACTCGTAAATCACTGCTGGATGTTACTACAAATAGTACAAACTTGCCTGACAATAACTCTACACATAGTACAGTTTGTATTGATGAAGACACTAAAACAGTGGTGTCGAATGAAAGTGAAATCCCACGTTCAATTATTGATAACAACTTTTACAAATCGTTAATCGAAAACCGTGTTGTTAGTTTTATCGCTAATATGTATGCAATGAATAATCTTACCCGAAAAGACGTACAAGTAATAATAAATTACATTAAAAATTTATTTGGCGAACCTTTAGAAGTTTTGAAAATTGATATTTTACAGATTCTAAAAAATAGTACTCAAATAAGGCTAGAAGACAGTGAAAGAATTGCTTTATATTTTGAGCAATTAAAGAGCTTATTTTCTGGTTTAGATTCAGATTATTTACGTCTGAAACACTTCAAAGATTCTCATTTCTACATTCCTCCTATTCAGTGTATTATTGGCCAACGAGAAACCACAAGAAACAATGCTGTATATGCACAAAGTAATGTAAGCCAATTTATTGAACTATCAAAAATCCTAAAACTTTTTTTTGAGTTACCAAACGTTTTAAAAGAAACTTTAGAACATTTAAACATTTTGAAAAGCAGTAGATTTTATCAAAACATATACCAATCAGAATTTTGGAAAAACAAAATTAATCATATACATTTACAAGATAATGATATCATTTTGCCCTTGTATATATATTTCGACGATTATGAAAGTGGAAATCCTCTTGGGTCACATGCAGGCATACATAAAATCTCTTCTATATATTGTTCAGTTCCAGTATTACCTCAAAAATATCAATCTCAGTTAGCGAATATTTTTCTGTTTTCATTATTTCATAGCTCTGATTTAAAGGAATTTGGACATAAAGTTATATTTTCTAAATTGGTGGAAGAATGCAATAAGTTATTGTCGGATGGAATTCGTGTTAAAAATTTTAACACACAGACAAACATATATTTTTGTGTTGCGTTAATATTGGGAGATAATTTAGGTCTAAACACAATATTGGGATATACAGAATCTTTTCGAGCAAGTTTTTATTGTCGATTTTGTAAATGTAATAAAACTGTTTTGGAATCTCAACTGACAGAAGATGCTAATATGTTAAGATCTAAATTAAACTATGAAAATGACCTTGAAACTGGAAATACTACCTTAACCGGAATAAAGCAAAGGTGTGTTTGGAATAATGTAGTCACATTTCATGCAACAGACAATTTGTCAGTAGATATTGCGCATGACATATTCGAAGGAGTCGGGTCATTTGATATTTGTGAACTGTTGCATCGTTTTATTATTGTTGATAAAATATTTACATTAGGCATTCTAAACAAGCGTATAAAGTACTTTAATTATGGAAATCAAAATATAAATAAAAATATAAATATAAATAAAAAAATTTTAGATATTGTACTTTCTCAGGAATTTTTATATTCTTCTTTACAAATTACGTGCAACTATCTTCAAGAATTAATTTCAAACCACCATCAATTATATATGGAGTTGTTTAATTTACCCCTTAAACCAAAACATCACTTCTTGGTACACTACCCAAGAGTGCTAAAAACTGTAGGGCCACTGTCAAAATTATCTACCCTAAGATTTGAGTCTAAACATCGCGAATTTAAAAAAACTGCTGTTGGAGTAGCTTCTCGTGTAAATATTACGTACACTGTTGCAATAAAACATCAACTCAAATTGTGTGCAACATTTATGGAAGAAAAAGGATTTATGAACTATCCTCAAATCGAATTAAAGGAATAGATGGAAAGTGTTTATCGTATAATTTCTGATTTTGACACTATTTGTAATAATTCCGGGCAAGATTGTAACGAATTCAAAAATGAAGTGTATTTTCTTAAGGCTTTAACAATTTCTGGTGTAGTATACAGGCAAGGGGAAATAATACAAATTAAAGATAAGAGATTACGATTTGGCAGAATTGTGTACATTGTGGTAAACAAAAATAAAGATATGTTGTGTATTTTTGAAGAGATTAAAGTTTTGAATTTTAATAATCAATATTTTTCATATAGTATAGAGATTTTAAATCAAAATCTGTGTGCCAACTTTTCCGATATTTTTATTAACAAAAATATTCATTATACTAAAATTAAAGACGAGCAATATATTACATTATTTAAATACAGATACCACAAATTAGTCGATTGCGATCAGAACGTGTAGGTTAACCATTGGAAAATATTAGTTATTTAGTAATAAAGCTGTTGTTTATGTTATAATATTTATAATAAATAAGTATCCTCTTAATCTAAAGATGTAATTACACCATTATTATAGATTTTTTTAATAATAGTTATTGTTTTCATATAATACAATGTGTACTTAGGTATATTGTAGAAACTTTATTAAGTTGGTTATTTTGTTATATTTTAATATATATAATGTGAAGTTTATTTTATATCAGTGTATCAAAAATGTATCTTTTCTTTTGCTTGTACTTGTATATGCTTTATAAGTCAATAAAAAGACTATTGTAACAAGAATGATTTATTTGTTATATATAAACAAATACAGGTATGTCAAAATTTATTTATATTTCAAATGTAATCCTTTAGTGATTGCCGAGTATACTTGATATAGGTAAATAGTTAAATAGCTCTAATTGAACAGTGTTTCTGCCATACAGTGCCTGTTTATTACGCTCAATTAAATAGTATTTCAATACTACAACAAATGTACTTACCATGAGTAAACAGGTTATTAGCTACTATTAAAGTGAGACAATTGCCACAATGATTTTGGTATTTAATCAATAGTCTATTCGCTTTTTACAGGTAGTATTTATTTCAATAAAGATAATGCAACTATTTCATTACTACAAGTAAACAATGTATTAGTTACTACCAAACTCGCCCCTGCCATAAACTAGTCAGATGGTTGCCATTATTGAATTATATTCTTATAAGTAATAACGAACTTCATAAGGATCATACGACATTTTGGTTACTATAAATAAACCCGTCTTAAGTGTAGCAGAACAGGATACTAGACACTATTATATATATATATCACTGTTACAACAATTCATATTTTTAAAGATAAATATTCTTTGTCATCAGAGATTAATTAACTGCTTATTTATTACTAGTAACTAATTTCAGAAAAACTTATACACTAATAATAAGTCAACAGTTTCCCTGTCCCCTATTTTATGCAACTTTTTATTTGGGGATAATGTATTTTTATTAAAGGTTAATGAATTTTTTTCTCAGTGTTATACTGTTACTGTTACTTTTCAGGCGATTACCACGAGGATATGAACGGCAATGTTTTTAAAAAGTGGTTGGATAGTGTACTTGATCTTTTGGAAGAAAACAGCGTTATTGTTATGGATTGCGCTCCATATCACAGCGCAAAATCTGAAAAAATTCCAAATAATAGTTCAACCCAGCTAGCAATTGAGGTGTCATTCGACGTCAAATAAGTAACGACACCAATTTCAATAAGTGCAGTATAACATAAATTCGACGTCGAATCGACTTAAGTGGTGTTTTTTGACACGTCGATTCGATGTGAGAAATAAGTTAAATAGGTGTGATTTAACTAATAGGTATTAGGTAATTTTCTACGTCGAATCGACGTGGCGGATTACTTATTTTCTACATGTCGTTTTAAACTTATAACCATACTTCATTACTATCCTCTCTTTTTAAAGAATAGTACCTACAGTTAATAAGAATACTGTTTTTTTTTTTTTTTTTTTTTTTTTTTTTTGAGGGCATTAACTGCTATGGTCATATTACCCCAATTAGGGCGCCCCCAAATCTCTCACTACACTTTAGATCTGTCTGTATATACCTATTTCTCTTAGAAAACTTAGGGTACTTTTTGCATTTATCGTTGCACAGAAGTTTTCGACATATTCTCGATTTAAACTATGCAGCGCCCTTTCGTTGTTATACATGGGCATTCCTGAATTATGTGCCGAATGGTTACAGCAGTCCCACATCGTTCGCACTGTCGGGCAATCTCACCCTTAAGAATGTGTTGGTGCGTTATCTGCGCATGCCCTATTCGCAGTCGGTGCATTTTTACATTTTCTTCCCTAGTGGCCTGGTCTAACACATAGAGTTTCCGTACATCTGGTTTTATTTAGCATAATTTTCAGTGTGGATAAAAATGCTTATAGAATGCGACCTACTATTACTAGACCAGCAAGTGTGAGGTTTTATGAGGATATTCAATTGCAAGGTATCGCTCTTCCGGAAATTCTGGAAAACACTACACAAGAGTTTGCACCGTGGATGACTCCTGCAGTCGAAATAAGAACGGAACTTGCGAAATACAAAAAGTCAACTACAAACAGTAACACTTACATACAGAAATTCCAAGATATATGTAATGAATATCCTTCGTATGAAATCATCTATACTGACGGGTCTAGAACGGAGAGAGGTGTTGGAAGTGCGATGGTGATTGGAGAAGAGTCCTATGAATGGAGTTTATGTTCGTGGTCCTCAATTCGCTTTGCCGAACAATATGCGCTGTGGCAGGCGTTGTTATATTGCTCCATCGGCGATAGAAAAAATTTTATCATCGTCACAGATTGTATGGAAGCAGTGAATGGGATCTCTGAAATATATCCTGTTGATGCGATGACGAAAAGATGCCAGTCCATTCTCAAGTTCTTAAATGGAAAAAAGGCTATAATTATTATTATATGGGTACCAAGTCATATTGGTATACCTGGAAACGATCAAGCAGACCATGCTGCATGCCAGGCTGCGTTAAGTAATCACATTGATGTTAACCTTATACATCCGTTGGACTTAGGAGAATACCTGAAAAAGAAAAACCGGTTAATGTGGCAACAAAAATGGGCTGAAAGTAACACTCACCTGACCCGAATAAGAATACTGTTATGAACTTTATGGCTGGCGTCATGTCAGACATATTACCTATTATATGTAAAATATTGAATATGTTTAATTTCATGATTTCTATGTGGAAATATTTCGTGCGAATGCATTATGACAAACATATATCTTTTGCCTTCAAAAAACACAAAGCCCCTCTGAAATAACTATTATGAAAATAATAAAAAATAATTATTCGTTTTTCATTTTTATGGTTGTACATTTTTGGCAGTTTAAGTATTTTATTCAAACATACAGTCATTAATAATACCTAAATATAATTATATTTTAATTGTATAATACATATTTATTCATTCATGCTAAAAAACATGTATGATGATATTTCGGCCGTCTACGATAGCCAATAAATATGTCTGCCTTCTCGTTATATTAATCTAATAAGTAGAGTACCCTAATTTGCACCTATATTTTCGACTTCATATTTCAGGTTGGTGAAGAACAAGCTACTTTTGATACCTATTACCTAATTGGTGTACAATATTACCAATTTTTATACACCTAATTGTAAAAAATTCATGTAAATACCGTATTATATACTTATTGGTGGTCTGTTTAAGTATACCTAATACGTGTATTCGCAACTAAGTATGTTGGGAATTCGACCTTAACTAACTAAACCAACCTATTAAGTGTAAGTCTTAACACCAAACTCCACCTACGTTCACTAAATCGACACCTATTAGGACCGCATGTAACTTCTTTTGGTAGATCACCTGTTTGCAACACAACTTATGATGGCAACCTACTACCAGGGATTCACAACCTATTACCTATTGTTAGGTTGACATTGATACCTACTATTATCTGTTCATCCACCAGATGCAGTAAAGCTCCTCCCAAAAAATTCCCGGCAAATTTAAATGAACATTTTTAATTGCCCGAATTTTCAAAATCTGTAACACACGCAACCGCAACTAATTTGCTTCCAATTATAACTGCCGTATCTGAATTGACATCCTTAGGTCTTAACGTCAAACCTATCATTGCATTTTGTATTTACCTTGCCTCAATTTTCCGTTAATATCATTTATACGAACAAAATAATCTTTTTGAACTTAATAAACAATTTGAAACTATGTACTGCTGTGTGTTGAAAGGTCAATATTCAAAACATAACTCTTTATAACTTCGTCGTACAATGTGATATGCAATTTTAAATTTCCCGGTTTTTATAATTTTGTGACTGTGAAACGGGTCTGTTATTACATTGGCCAAAATTTATTGGGAGTGGCTTAACTGCATCTGTTGGGTGAGCAGATTATAGGTGAAACAGACCGGCACTTTCGCGTCATTATTTTACTCGAGTGAAATATATTTATTTTGGTGAAATGGTACTAAATAGGTGATCTGTCGTTTCGACCAATAGGTCGAAAAAACTTAATGATGAAATATTCAAGTTATTTCAACCTATTAGTCGAAATGTAAGTAACCGTATTCTCTTATTAGGTGTCTATGAAATTTTCTTCTATTCCTATTTAGTCATTTTCTCGACTTTGGTCTATATCTCCTATTAGGTTACATTTATAACATGAACAAAGTTACCTAATAAGTCATGGAACGAAAATATTACCAATTAGGTAACAAGCGTCCCTTTAGTTAGGTTACAAATTGGCACAAATAAGGTCCTTCTACCTACTGCTCCTATTAGGTGATACAAAGTTAGGTATATGCCACTCCTTAATTGGTATTTTTAACGTACCTCACCTATTAGATGACCATTTACCACTACCATAGTTTGTTGCATCCTAATAAGTGTTTATTTCACCAATATGTCACCAGTGCCTAATAGGTAACATATTTACTTTTACCTATTCAACATAAACATTACATAATTTCCACCTACTTTGGTCGGATTTCTTTTGCCTCAGGTTGCCAACACCTAAATTGCTAGCTGGGAAAGAAACAGGACATTATTACTTGGTTGCACAGGAAACGTATAATTGTAGAGGATCAGTTATTGATGATCCAACTGTTGGAGTTGCTTAAGTCATATTCTCTGTCCCATTCAGCACCCTACGTAATAGATGAAATGGTAAAAAACAGTGGACGAACTTTTTCACGATTACCTCCATATCATTGCAATTTAAACCCCATAGAGTTAATTTGGGCGCAAGTTAAACATTATGTAGCTGCCAACAACACTACATACAAAATTGGTGATGCGAAGAAACTGTTAGCAGAAGGTATCGATAATATAACCAAAGAACAATGGCAAAATTGCGAGAAACACACGATAGAGGAAGAAAAAAAGATGTGTGATCTGGATGGAATAGCAGAGAATATGATGGCGATGATAATCAATTTGAATTCAGATAGTTCCACTGCTGGAGAGTCAGACGATGAAGATACTGACATATAATCAACAGTAAACGGGAGGAACAACGAAAGCAGAGTACGCGAACAGCACAAACTTATAAGGCTTACAACTATAGGGGGCGAACACCAGCCACTGCGAAAGTCATTGATGCAGAAAAATGCCCCGAGACTATACCATTAGTCAGATCTTGTCGGAGGTTATCACATTCCCTTTGTCAGCACCTACTTCCGCCGCACCATTTTGTAGTAAATTGCCTTTGAAGTTTCGACTCCCACATCAGTCAGATCTTATCGGGGGTACCACATTTCCTTTGTCGGTACCCGCTTCTGACTCCCCCATCACTGTCATATAAAGGCCCCATTTTGGTGGATTTCGCTAAAAAAACCTCCAGAAAACAGTACCTACTAAATTTTGGGGCACTTCCCATAGTTCGACCTAGAAGGCGACACGAGAAAGAGAGACCGAGATTCGAGCTTTAAGAAACTAAACCGCGTGGCGCGTGACAAAATTCGCAACGGAAAGTAACTTTTGGGCGCCCGAAGTCGACTACCCTTCTCGTGCTCCTTGGAAAAGGTGGTTAATTTCGCGCCTAGGAAAACAAAACAAAATTCCGTCACGCACGATATGACGACGCGCCACATGCACATCCGGCGGAAAACTAAAACGTGCTGAACCAGGGCCGTAGCCAGACTGTATAATCAGGACAGGCTCACAAACATTCAGGACAGGCGGCCTATTCCTGAACTATGACAAATGAAGCAAGCATACATAAACGTGTGTTTGCTATGCCACTGGTTCAAGATTACGTCAAAATGGCGTTAGAAACGTATACAAACTTGTTCCAATGATATCGAGAATATGCCTCCAGACTGAAATCTGAAATGTAGGTAATGGCATTTCTAGTTTTCAAAAAAACACTACTGGCTTTATTTTCATAAGCACTTATTTTATTTTGCAAATAACCACTCGGCTGGCCTAAATTAACAAAAAATTCTAAATTTACTAGGTTTGTGAACACACGTGGAATTTTTTTTAAATAATGAATAATAATCTAAAATCAAACCCTGAATTTCTCAGAGTGACCTATTACTACATTAAATGTACCCTGGAACGAATTTAATGCTCATCAAACAGCACAGACGATAGCAGATATCAAATGTCACTTACTTTTACACACTTGTTTTTTCACGGTAAGCAATCGCAATCCTCTACCTTTTATATTTATATTTAATAACATGCTCGAGAAAAATACATCAAAATAAAGTAGTACTTCGCATTTTTTAAATTTAAAAGTTTTTAATCACCGATTCTTAACCAGATTAAATTTTCTCAATCGTCCTCGTAATAGAAGCGTATATGGTTAAAATTTTTCAGAGATTTTCGCAAGTAAAAAAGATGTCATTTTGCAGTTTGCGCATGCGCACATTTGATTTTTTACTACGTGTTTCCCTTTGCGAATTACATTTCTAGTTTTCGATTTTTACTAAATGTGATGTTTTTCTATACTAGAAGCAAATTCGAAGAAATATTGTCATAAATAATAAAGTTGGGACTGCGCAGAATCTAATGTTTACAATATGAGATATGTTTGCCTTCGTTGAAAAATGCGCTAAGAGATCAAAGCTTCACCAAATATTTGTGATAAACCACCGACTTCACGAGACGCCCTCGGCCATTTGAGATGTTGATATATCGTCATTCTATACCGATAGACAGTGCAGCGTTGCGGGTTTTAAAAAACATGTTATACATAGATATGTTCGTTTAATTGATAACCGCAACATCGTCAATAGTAATAATTATATATTTTAGCACACTAGTAAATTACAATAGGAAATTCGGAAATCTGGCTAGGGCAGGCTTAAAATTTTTCAGGGGAGGCTCAGCCTGCCCTGGCGTACCTCTGGCTACGGCCCTGTGCTGAACCCTCATTGGTCAAAAAACCGATGAGAGCGTAGCATCCTTGGCCGCAAACGTTTAAAAGCAGAGGTCAAAACTCTGCAAAGACATTCTTGCTTCGACCAAAGAGTATCCATAATAAGAGATACAGCGCAATGGTATAAACGCGTGTTGGCTATAAGAACTCGCCCGCTAGGACTCCAAAAGCGGGCCCTCGCGTAGAGGTGGCCAGAACTAACCGCCTCTTTAAATATTGGCGCGTATTGAAAATTTACAGAATTCTTTATAGAATTTCGGTTTAAAATATTTGCGCGGTTGTCACATTTAATTTTCTTTCTTATTGGCTGTATAAAATGTGGACATGATATAATTAGAAAACTCAAAACATTACTTAAATATAAATGAAATCAGCAACGATTCAGTACCTATTGTTAATTACATTGGTATTTTCCTGTTTAGTTGGCGTCTATTGAATAGACAGTAATTACTATTTAATTTAATAACCAATAACAGATATAATTGTAAAAATGTAAATTAAATTTGTTATTATCCATCCTTTTTAGATCGTCTACTACAATCAAATTAAAGTAGACAACATATTTCATAAAATTGGATTTTATGATGAGCATAGCGATTATTTTACAGGAAATTTTGTTTGCTTTAATTTTGTATAGATGCCTACATACGCTGAGTTGTTTAATCATTAACAATCAATCATTACAAT